CCGACGTTCAAAGACACCGGGTCTATGACAGCCAAACTAATTGAAATAAGGTTTAAGACGAATGTGGCGGTATTGTCGGCAAACGGGGTGCAGGCTGGGCTGGGCGCGTGGACAAAGGAGGAGCGACTTGACTCATATTTAAGAACACTAGTTTTAGAACACTAATTTTAGAACACGAGAGGCACTCAGGTCTCTCGTGTTCTCCACAAATTATGTACCCGGAATTGTGTTTTGCTTCAATATATCGGTTTGTATTTGTCTCTCTTCGTCTTTAGCAAGAACTGCCTTAATCCCAATCAATCCGAACAACGCAACCAACTTAGTATTTGCGCAGACGAAACTGGTTGACTGGCTCCCGTTCTAGACTCCGAATTATATTGCAATAAGGATAAAAAGAACTTCATCAGAAATAAAAGTCATAACCACCCAACCGGCTGTCTGGTGGGGGTATCCGAAGGACGATTTTTGTACGGAAATAAGGGCATCATCCGCATTGCACGCGGGCACTCAGACAGCTAGCGGTACCCTGGTTCTAGAACAACAATATTGGTTGAAGTTGTTGGATCCAATCTAAATGGTTGAACTATCTCGTTGTATTCTTAATTAGTGAAAGGAGATCTACCGTCGCCTCGCCCAGTATCCGTAAGAAATCAAAATATGAACCTATTTCTCATTCATATAGGTCATCATCGTCATTTATCAATATATTATTTAACTAAGAAATCAAATCAACGTCAATTTTTTACTAAATTGAATAAATATGTGATTACATGACTAAGCAGTTGTATTGTAAAAGGAGTAATGACTTACTTTAATTGTTTTGTATGCCTACTGGCGAAACATGGCGATCTTGTTAAATTTCGATTGTAACATTTGAATTTACTTGTATTTCACGAAATAAACGACTTTATTGATCATCTCCAACAGTATCAGAAGCACAAATTAAAGTCAAGTTAGCAATTGTTAGTCACAGTCACGAGTAGAAAACGAAACAGTTCAAATATACAAGCCAAGTTTCAAAGTATTTAGGTATTATCGGCTTAATGCTCCCGGTCTTTCATTTAAGTTTTTTTCTATGAATTCTGATACTATCCTAGACTATTATACCTTGTTAGATAGCTGACAATACGTACATGTGTCGGATTAGTCGGATAGAATTAGCGAATCAACGAATACAATTAATTGATAACACCTATTTTCTTAACATTGTTAAAAAAATGACAAAAACTGCCAAAACCTTTTTATCGCGTTTTACAAGAAACGCAATAAAAAGACAAACAAAATGAGATTTGTATAGTCCCGATATTTATTCCATAGAATATTAACCACTGATTACAAAATGATTATAATAACTTTTGTCTCTGTCTTGATCCGTTTCAAAACCTAGTATAAACACTTGATGTGTTTTGAAATGGGGATTTTGAATATCGTGTGATGTATTCTGATCAATCTAATTTATATTATGTTTATATTATTTCGTAAAGACAAAATTCAAAATATTGATTTCTGTATCACTTTTTTGTTAATTTCAATTAAACAGATAAAATTAAATAAAAAAGTAAAAGTGCTTTTGACATTCTGTTTTTTTTTTGCAATTTCAAATCGTTTGTCCTACCTCCCCCTCCCTCCTTTATTAGGTTAACTGACGACTTGTTTGGTGGTAGAATTGACCAGAAAGCCTTAAGCGATTTATGTGTAACAGGCACGAGTTTATATTTATAGTTTCTTCTTTTTCTTTACTTTTATTCCTAGGGCCTTGGTAGGCCGGTGGAACTCCGCCGGCTCCTTCTGCGAGCAGGTTATGCTTGCGATGGAGATGGCGGAGCGAGACCGGGAGAGGTTCAGAACCCTCCCGGCTCACCAGGCCCGAGACCGGGCCAGGTACCGCAGACGGCGCGGGCGTCGGAGGTCGCAGACCGACCTCCGTCCTCCATAAGCGCAGGCCTGAGGGTGACAGGTGAGGCCATCTGTCACTCTAGTAGAAGCAGGCCGGGGTGGGTAATGGCGCGACGCGGGTTAGGCTCCATGCAAAATTTTCCGCTGTTAGACGTAAAAATAAAACATGCAGACACACAGATAGACAACCAGATTGGCATTGATAGTATTAGGAATAAATATACTAGGTGTTGTAAAGTAGGTTCATTGATCCACATACAAATTTTACTTCTACCACATTATTTAAAATAAATCTCTCAAGGGAATTTATTCACGAGTTACCCTCTTTTTCTTTGGCCATTCATAATTATTCTTAACTTTTATAACCTTACTATTCTTTCTAGATTGCTTTGCCGTATCATTATAATCCTGGAAATCGTATTATATCTCTTTATCTTTTCATTTTTAGTTCAATGTCAGGGTGCATTGCGTCCGCAGTTATGAATGTGTGTGTCTCTTCGTTAGATAGTTGTAACCTATTTTGAAGTGGTAAAGTTACTAGGTTTTTGATCTGGTTGTTTGATATACTATAGTATACTTACTCGGTTTCATGATGTTAAAAATCTGTCATTTATAAGATTTTTATGAAAGTTCGAAATATGCACAAAAAGTAATTTTAAGAAAAGCGTCCCTTACTGGGTTTTGATCTGGGGCAGCCAAGCAGCAGCGTGCCACCCACCAATGACTACCGGCCGGAGCGCAAATTTGCGTTTGTTGAAAATTGACTTTTTCAGTATTTCTACTTAACTGAATAAAAAGGTATTTTACCACGTTGTAGAGGATGGTCTCGACGAACAAAAGTCTTCTTCTCTTTGACCTCGTATTCTCCCGCTACACGGGGTCGGTTTTGCCAATCATGCGACGCCGCGTGGTCCGCTGTGCGTCCTCTTCCCTTAGACCCAGTTCCTTCATGCCCCTTTGGGCATTCGTCAGACAGGTGGTCTGAGGTCTTGCTCTTCCCCTCTTTATAGTACCCATAGAAAGGCACTTCCTCACGACATGATCCTCGGTTCTACGCATTACATAACCGTACCATCTCAGCCTGGACTCGCTCAGTTTGGCCGTTATCTTTGCAACTTTGAAGCTCCCCTGATTGAGTAGGGGACTAAGGGCACTCCCCTTATAAACACCAACTTTAATCCCAAAACTTTTAGATGATCCCGCTGGGGTTCTGACGCTTGTTTGGACAACGCTGTACATGTCCTTTATGAGAATATAGCATTTCTATTAGGATTTCCTATAGCATTCAGGGACTCCATGTACCCTCAGAGCCTGCCATGTCATTGTCCTTAGCACTCGGTCAAAGGCCTTCTCTAGATCTACAAATAGGAGGACATTACTTTTGCCTTTATAGAAGGACACAAGCAAACTATTCCTCCATCTGGCATTTTCTGATGTCATTGAACAATTCAGCTAGCCACGCCTCTCCATTCGCTTTTAGAGCCTTCCATAATTCAGCAGGTATTTCATCCGACCCGTTTGCCTTTTAGAGCCATTTTCAAGTTTCATTAATATTTAAAAAAAAATAACTCGCGTTGTAAACGCGAGTTATTTTTTTTTTTGCTAAAAAACGAGGTATTATTTAATTTACAAAGAAACTATACAACCAATCGGCCCTCTAGAAGTCTCATTGTGTTTGTGTTTTTTTTTTCACGAATTTTAGTCCCATTTTCCTCTAATTATATCCGACTATTTTCGACAAATCTTCAGTTTAACTGTCATAGATTATTTATAATATTCGTCAAAGAGAAAATCATTTTTACAATTTTTTGTTGCTTAACCATTAATGCTAATTATTAACCATCCACTTCGTTCATGTTGAGTTAACTACAATTTTAGTAATGGAACTTATAAAACAATATATCAACTACACAAAGACAGTAAAAAAGCAGAAAATAAAGGATATCAGTTCTAAAAAAATTGAATTAGGCAAAATTTCGGCGATTTTTATAAAAATCTTAATCGTCCAATATCTTGAAAATGGTTATGTTTGGGATATGCTATTTCTTAGTGAAATATATCAGAAATGATGGCAACTACAACCCTTAAAGTATCTATGTCGACTTACCCAGTCACCCTGTATAACTCTTTTGGCTTAATAAGTTTATATTTTTGATAAATTGTATTGTATTGTTGTACTTATTATTAATAGAATATTTACATAAATGATTAAAGTAATATTGTAAGCCTATTAAATACTCCACTTTCTTTTCTACTGATAATATTTTACATATTATTATTATAGGTCGGTCTCAGAGGTAGTAACCATAGACGAAGGTGAATGACGAAGAACGAATGAAATTATTGTTTAACTGTTTGGATCGGTCACCTATTTCTACGTCAAATTGTTATGTCAAGAATTTGACAGTTAGCATTTTTATTTATTTAATTTAATCGAAAAAGAAAGTGTATGACGAGTGTATGAGGCATGAGCCACAACATGAAATAATTTTGTTTACGAAATCACATCAATTATATAAATATCACATAATAGTAAGTGATGTTATGGTTTTCAACTTAAGATTGGTGTATGTATGCTAATTTTTTTACCCACTATTTTTACTCTTTGGCTTAAAGAGATTGCAAAATTAATCACTTCTCTAGTAATGTTATTGATAATCTCCCATATTGCATCAATTACTTTTGTCCTTACGTTGATGATGGCTTTTGTTTATATATTAGACTCCGTATCTCTCCATCAGTAACGTAGCGTGTAGACTACTATCTTTGGATTTCATTTGTAATTAGTAATACCTAAAGTTTTTTTGTATTACTGATATTATTATTATTTGCAATTAGTTTATTTGGCAACTTAAGTACGTGTGTCCTCTGACTTTGACATTTTATAGAGGTTAAACTAATATTTAATCGCATACTATTTACAACTTTCTCTTTCAGATACTTAGAATGTGGTTTATATAGTGAAGTGTCGAAATATTGTGTGAGAACAAAATATCATATACAAAGACATGAGTGCGGGTGGGCCACAGATAATGAATAATTTACCAGCAGGTGTGAATGCTGACAACAACTTGTTGCCAGGAGGTCCTATAATTAATCCAACAATGAATAGGAATAGAAATAATAATCCAAATCCTTTATTGAATGTGAGAGAGAGGCTATTTCATGCATTATTTTTTAAATTTGCTTTGGCATATGCTTTTACGTTTCCTGGGCCTGTAAGAAGATTTTTTGAGTTCCTTGTACTTGTTAAAGCACTTGTGGCTTTCTTTGTCCTGGCTTATATTCACATAGCATTTTCAAGAACACCAACAACATGCTTGAACCATGTAAAGGATTCATGGCCTAGAGATGGGATATTGAGAGTGGAGATTCTTAGGAATCCAGACCAGGGTTACACAATTGAACAGAGCTATGCCAAAGAGCGGAAGTTGAGAAAAGATAAAGAGGATCTTAATTCAATGTTGGGAATGCTAACAACAGAAGGGTAAGTTATTTCATGACATGACAATAATAAAAGTGAACATGTTTATTTTATGTGGCACATTGTTTATATAATACTTTGATTAATTATTGATGTATAATGTCACACATTTTTATCTCTCATATAAAGTTTGCCCTTGTATCTTAGCTAGAATTAAGTCAAAACATGATAGTTATATTAAGACTATAAAATTTGTTTTGAAATTATGAGTGATATAATCCTTTTTCTGCTTACTTATTTGCACCTACTTAAACTCTTCATAAATTTGTTTTGTTAAATTTAAATATTAAGCATGTTTATTTATGTCATAAAATACAATTCATGTAGAACAATATGCTGATTTACATTTAAAAGTAAGAGTTCATTTGTCAATTCTCACACAAGAAATGATTGTTGCGATGAGTTGTTTTTTAGCTGAAATTTATGATATGATGATAGTGAATTTCACAATAGATTTTTAATGTGCGTCTGCTCAAAGTACTTTTTTAAAACATTTTTTTTAGGAAGTTTTTATTTTACTGCTTTTTGATGGGCTATTGGTTTAGTAGCTTGGCTTTCGATCAAGTCTGGCACAAAGCGCTACTCGCGAAGCTTCCTTTTTATGGGCTTCTTGAGAAACTGTGCAACTCAATCAGACTTGTACCGGCCGCAACTTTCCGCCATTGCCTGCCTTCGGCCTGTACAAGAAGAATTCCTCTAATCTTGTTTCCCCACTTGAGTTTGGCTGCAACAGTAGGCCAGGTTTAGAACAGAGTTCTGATGGTAAGAAGTATTTACCTACTTGGGTGGATTTCATTTAACCAAAAATGGTGCAAAGTACAGATTTAGATGTTCAGTCTCCGTAACTTGTAGTGATTCAAAGGTGGTCATTCATTTCAGTGCTATTTTTTCGGATTACAGATTTGAATCCTGTTTCAGTAGTACTACAGGTTATTCTTTTAATTTTTTTAAGTCTTATTATTGGTTATGTGCATTTTTAACTATTACTTTTTATGATGCATAACATATCAAACCAAAAACATAAATTCATTGCAAAAATTAAATTTATCGAGTTAAAGTTACGAAGAAAGAGACAGAGAGAGAGAAATTACGAATTAGAACTTTGTTGTTATTTTTTTAAACTAACACCCGAAAAGTGAAAAATATAAACATAATAAATTTTAAATGCTTAAATTTTTTGAGTGACTTGACATGGTTTGAGTTTAGGTATATCTACATTCTGTTATATGTCCACTAAATACTCTGTACCCTGCCTGTTCTTATTATTGGTTATGTGTATTTTTAACTATTACTTTTTATGATGCATAACATATCGAACCAAAACACAAATGCATGGCAAAAATTAAATTTATCGACTTAAAGTTACGAAGAAAGAGACAGAGAGAGAGAGAGAAATTACTTATTAGAACTTTGTTGTTATTTTTTTAAACTATTACCCGAGAAGTGAAAAATATAAACATAATAAATTTTAAATGCTTAAATTTTTTGTGTGACGTAACGTGGTTTGAGATGAGGTATAATTATCTACATTCTGTTATATGTCCACTAAATACTTTGTACCCTGACACGTTTAGCTGTAGCACATCATGGTTAGGGAATGCAAATCTCGCGAGATTGGGGCTCAAGCGAGATCCCGCGAGTTTATGAATTATAATACTGCGAGATCTCGCCAATTTCGAGATCTCGCGAGATTGGCAGTTTTGTGTGTTTTTTTTGCAAATAATCAAATTATTTGAATAAATTAGGAAAAAAAGTATTATAAGATAATCATTTATTTTCAAGAATTTTTCAATAGACTTATGTTTTGTGACATTGTTTGACGTATCTGTCTATAATTTTTTAATAAACTTCTAAGTAGTGAACTTTGACGTACGTATCTATCAAATAACAAATGAAAAAAACAACCAGTCTTCTCTTCTAATATCAAACAAGTCTTTATCTTTTAGGAATAAAATTTTATCTTGTGTAAATTTTTTCTGAGAGACACCTCGTCCCGCGACCGCCGACTCAGGCCGCCGCCTCCCGTTGCCGCCGCCCAGTGAAATCTCGTTAAACCCGCGAGATCTCGCCCTTTTTTCGTCCGAGATCAATCTCGCTAAAAATGCAATCTCGTTCTCGTAAGAACTCGCGAGAACGAGATTGCATTCCCTAATCGTGGTTGCACTGATGAGGAACAAAATTAACACGAAAAATAGATAAAACAATCTTCAAAGTGAGTAGTATATCGTGTCAAAATTTGAGCTCAATGGTTTTTATTTTAGAGGGGGCAGACGAGCAGACGGGTCACAAACTAATTTAGCATTTTTATAAAAGTAGATAAATATGCTAAGTTTCGAGAAAGAACAGATACAGAACTTTAACAATTTGACTGTGTTTATATAACTCTTAAACATTTAGCATAAGGGTAACTATACACGTAATTTATTTCTCTCATAAGTAGTTCTTGACTTCATGCTATTGTCGAACATTTGTTACAATTATAAATATAATCATTGTAATTTATTCATGAAGCAACTATGGCATATTAAGTGTTACATTATACATGCAATCCTTATCGTCGAAATTAATAATAAAAACATATTTATAAATAACGAAAAAGTGTTGCACCAATCATCACACACCTACATACGCCTAACATTTAAGTATATTTTTATAATGAACACTTATTTTTTTGTGTCTAAACGGCCAAGCGAGTAGTAAATTGTTCCATTTTAATATTTAAGATGGTTAGGCGTAAATTCATTTCATAAACAGAAAGATATTAAATCGCGTACTGAGTTTGTGAGATTTATTATAACTAATTTTCATAAGTTTATTTCTTTTATTAACTATAATTTTGTCTAGAAGTATTTAATTTATGAACATAATATTTGCAAATATATTGAATTTGACATTAAATACCCTTTTCCTAAAAACATTCTCGACTCGAGTCCTTTCTATTCAAGCAAATTGATGATGATGATTATTTATGAAAATGTTTTGAGTGATATAACACATAACAAAATCTTGAAAGACAATATTTTCTATTTTATTTACAGTTTTATAAACATAGAATCATCAACCAGTGACGATATAGATGACGATGACTATATTCGTGATGGAACGGATTATGGAAACATAACGCGCATCCACGATGATGCTGAAGGGGATTCACCAGATAAAGTGATAGCGACCACGTATCTAGATAGTGGTCGAGAAGGCGGGACGGGTGAAGATACAGATCTCAACGCCACTATAGTGTCCGGCGGAGATGTAGAACCTTCTTCCTCGATATGGGAGGGTATAATGGGACTCGTAGAAGATATCGAAAAAGATTCAAAAGTAGTGGATGTAAGTTCTACTTTTATATTCTGTGTTGATGTTACTTTTCATGATGTTATAATATGTGTAGCTCGTTGGTTTTAAGATATTTAAACATGAAATAGAAGAGTAAAGAAATCTTATATAAAAAAAAAAATTATGGTCTTCAATTATAAATTAAACAAGTGCTCTGACAAACAATATTAAGCTCGTATATGTCAGCAACGTAACTTGTTTTAACTTAAGGAGAAAGTTTTTAAGAAACCTGTTCAGTTTTTAAACACACCTATTGATGTAAATAACAATACTTGCAAATAAATTTTGAACTGCACCGGATAGGCTGTCGAAATGTGCCTTGAAATGAATATTTTCTTATTTAAAATAAGCTAACTGGGTTTTAGGCTAAACTATGCCGCTTAATTATAAAAATCGACCACATAACGTTTAGCTTCGAATCACAAACTGCATTAGTTCATCATTTTAAAGTTGTCTAGTCATATAAGTAAAATGATCTCAGCAACTATGTTTTTAAATCTGGGAAGTTATGAGTAATGTTACGGATCTATCCTTTACTGTAAGACCTGACTCGGCTATTTAAAAGATGCCGCAAACATTATCCCGTGAAATATTTAAGTACAAACTATGTTTACGTTGTTTAATTATAAATATTGCATCATAAGTAACTTGTTATTTTGTTTGACTTTTAAACTGTAGAAGCCCATCTGTCTGCTTAGGTACATAGTACTAATACAGTCCTTACTCGACTACTCTAAGTTGTTATCAATTTTTCATGACGTCATTAATTAATTATTTATTAATAAAAATAAATATGGAACCAAAATTGTTATACAGGTGTCTAGGTAATCATATGTCACACAAAAATATATAAGTATATGTATATATTTATACTGCCACAGTATACAATAATATTTGTATATATCATCGGCCAGTAAAGTTCCCAAAGAAACGGATAAAACTTTTGTAGGTACTGTTGAATCCGCCAACAAGCCCTAGTACCAGTTATAGTTGTATATTATATTATAGTAGGCCGAAACCTCCTTTCTAAGGAGAGGCATATGTCCAGCAGTGGACTATTAAAAGCTGATGATGATGATGGTGATTAAATAGGGTCTGTAGGGTGATTGAAGTACTCGCAACTAAAAATAATTTTATTTAATAATACTTTTTATTATATTCATTTTGAGTTTCTCCAGGAATCCAGACCTATTATTGAACGCCCTACTTGTTTACATGCTCGATAATTTAAAAAAATGCTATTAATCTCTCACTTTTTGTAGGGTAGCTGTATACAGCTACCCTACAGAAATAAGAAGTTTATCCTAAATGTATTTTTAATTGTTTTTTATTAAAAGAAAACTAACCCGTACAATCCGACCAAAGTTTACGATTTTTTACATTGTACATAGAATTAGCGTGACTCGCATATAAACCCTGCTCATCACCATCATCGCTGTAATCCACTGAGGAAGTACATTTTTCTGCAAGCAACCGTATTTGCTTTGATTTTCTGACACTCGTCACATTTCTCGCATGTAAATGCTCTTAGGAAACAGAGCTACGGCATAACAAATCAATTCATGTGTTGTTGTCAAAGTTGGGCACTTCGTTATCTGTCCAAGCATATGTCCATCGGCTCAATCCTACGATTGCCCTGCACCATATGTTTATTCTGTTAATATAAAATAAAGAGAAAATATTTATATTTTTATTTGTGGCGAATAAACTCACAAGTCCTTGGCCGTTTTCATAGGTTCAGGACGTGAAAAAGTGTTTTGCAAACTAATATAATATTGCTGAAGAGATTTTTATTGTTTTGTTTAAAGGTAATATCTGGAATTATCAATTAAATTTAAATGTTCTCTTTTTGTATCAGATAGTGTTTATTAATAATAATAATATATACGAGTAATACTTAGTTGTAACCTGATTTTTGGTGTTAACAAGAAAAATTGTAAAATCTTCACGTTTATCTCAATGCACGATAAAAGGCTTCCCAAAAAACGGCACTGCCGTATGATTATTTTTTCGAAGGCATTCAAGACGTTTTCGACCTCTGTAATTTAATAGTGGATAAAACTATAATTCTGTTTCTTCAGTGGCCTGAAGGACATAATCAGCGGAAAAAGTTCGAATTTTATTGTTTGAGCTTAACAGATATTTAGTGTATGAACTAAATATCCGATAAGATTCTCTCAATTTTAAAAAGGCAGTTTAAAGAGTATTGCAAGTCAAAGTTCCTTAATTTTATCACTAACTCACTCACCGTTTATCAAAATTCTCAGGCACTTCTAGTAGACTCTTCAGTATGACATACTATTTAAAAGACTCAGTTTCATTTCCCTTTTCTGTATGTACAAACAAATAATTTTATCATTGCATTTAATAGATATGGAATAACAAAGATAACATAGCTTTTTGCATAATATGCAATGTTTTCGTCAGTTAAACGTAATTAATTAGTGACATAAAGAAACAGGTGGGTATGTTTCCAACACCCACTCTCCTTAGAACTTCCATCCCCCATCAGTTAGATAATTGGCATTTCATCATTGAGCTTTTGCTGCGGTATTACCGAACTAATACGACCTCCAACCCTTAACGAAAAGAGCTTACCCCCTCTTCAAAGGCCGGCAACGCGCTTGTGAACGATAATCTTTTACCACATTTAGTTATAATTGTTATCTAATTTATTAAGTAACAAAATGTTATAGAGCCCGTGTTAATATTAGACATTTTTAACTATTTAATGAATTTGGAACATACTATTTCCTCTTCCTGGTAACGACAATTGTCTAGATTCTAGATGAACTACTCAAATAATTTTATCAAACAGAGAGAAAAGAGGCGACTTAATTTGACCAAGGACTTTTTAAGACTCGCAAAAATTGACGTCTAAAAGATACTTGAAGCATTGTATAACTCATATACTTCTATGTATTACTTTATATTTGTTATTGCATAAATTTATCATAACCATACATAAATTGAATTGAAATGATTCAAAATGGTATAAAAGATTTGTCATTATAAGATGCCATAGTACAATATTTACAAGTTTAAGTTATTATTTTCAAAATTATGTTCGGAGTATAAGAAAATTAGTATCTTTTCAAGGTTTTAATATACCTTTATTTATACGCAAGGTAAACCCCTAATCTTTAGGTTAAAATCAAGTTGTGTTGTTAATGACGGGATTTCCGCACAGGAAAAAAATGTATGACATTTTTTGGTTGGTTTGTATTCGGCAAAAAATGACAAACGCGAGATGCGATGTAATTCAAACTTTGAATTGAAATCATAAGTTTTCAGATTACAATACTAATTCCATTTCATGCTAAGCCAATAATATGTGTATTGACGTAGACTTTAAAGTTATTAATGCGCATATGTTATACCTATGCTAATTATGAGAATACTGCTATTGTTATTTGCCTTAAATAGTTATATTGTTAGGTCTACTGCGTTATCGATAAAACTTCTTTAAGGAAGTATACTAAGTAAACGAAGGAATTCTAGTAAACTTTACACGTGCAATGCAAATGCAAATTAGCCAATGGCAATGACCCATTTAAATAATACTTGATGTTCATCATATATAATTTTGGAAGGGTTGTTTTCGATATCACAGACTGTTTCCATACAATATTATAATGTGGATTTTAAATTTGATTTCAGGAGTCTCTGGATGAGTCAGCAACCAACGACTCCTCAAAAGGTGAGTTAATACTATACAGGAAATTTATTGAAATGAGACGGCACTATCTCACGGCCTTGAAAGATACTACTCATTTATTCGATTACATAACGCGACAATGTATTTTATAAATTTACTATATATTATTAAATACTACTCGTTCTTACGTCTATTGTTTATGTTCATTTTGGTGGCAAATTTGAAAATCTGAATTTCGAATGAGGCAATTGGGTTACATAAAATTAAAAAAACCAAAATATTTGAGAGTGTAGTAAATGACTATTGGTGTTTTATGTAAACTGAGTGTTTTACGTAATCCGATACTTCTAAGGTATCATGTGAAAAAAGTTTCATACGAAAATCTCACACCATGAAGGTTTTATGTCAATTCAAAGTATCTATTACTATACAACGGCAATTTCATGCTTTGACTAGGGGTCAAAGTATGAAATTGTAAAAACTACGATTCATAAATAGAAACTCAAGCGAAATTAGGAATACAATCTCTTCAAAGGCTTCTGCAAAGGTTGAGGTTACAACTAATGAGCTTATACTTATTTCACTTGTTTCCCTAGTTCGTTATTATTTTACTAGTGATGATGTAGGCAGAAAAATATTTTTTTTAAATATTAGGAATACACAGAGGTTGTGAGGTTTATCCGTGTTTAATTTGTAAATTAATACGCTAAGAAACCTGTTTGCACCCCTTTTTAATCAAACATGACTCACGGCGGCAAATCATTTAGAATTCTTAAAGTTTGATGTCAAAACTATTTTTTTAAACAATATGTAGGTATGTAAATAAAGTATAAAACAGCTACTTAAAACTGTCCATTATATATTTTTAACCTGTTATCTTCTTCTTAGCCGAAACACGTCCACTGCTGGACATAGGCCGCCCCCAAGTTTCGCCACAACTACCGGTCCTACGCTGCCCGCATCCAATGGTTTCGCACGACCTTTACCAGGTCGTCGGACCACCTTGTAGAAGCCACTGCCACTATCCACGCGTCCAGTACGCGGTCGCCCCTCGGGAACCTTTTAGCCCCATCGGCCATCATTTTTACGAGCAATGTACCCCGCCTACTGCCACTTCAGTTTTGCAATTCTCCAGGTCATGATCAGTAACCTTAGTTTCCCTGCCTAGGTGCTCATTACTGATTTGATCACGCAGATAAATCTCCGAGCCTTACCCACTTCATTGCCATTTGGGATACTTTGAACTTTCTTCTAAAGCACATTGTGAGCGACCACGTCTCTGTGCCATAAGTCATCACTGGCAACACACACTGGTCAATTTTTTTTCAATTTCAGACGAGAAAATTTCACGCAGCTTCCAGGCCTATGGCAGCGTTAGGAAGCTGTGTGTCTAAGCCTATGATGCCAAGGAGAAAGCCGATCTCCTAGGCAAACTCTTTGCATCCAACTCGACTTTGGATGACGGGGGAAATGTACCGCCGACTTTGCCGCGGTGCCAGAGCTATATGCCGGATAACCGGTTCACACAAAAATCAGTGCGTAAAGCACTTTTTTGCCTTCGACATTCATAAGTCATGTGGGCACTCTCTGTGTCGCATATATCATGGAGAGTGTTCCGAGGAATTGTTCGGATTAATACCGGCCGCACCATTCCGTCATCGTTCCACACGGCAAAATTTTCATCCCCATCACCTGGATACTTAGCGCTCCACTACTGTTCGCTTACCGAGACACTTTTTGACTCGCACAACCAATCTGTGGAACGGGTTATCGTCTGCGGTATTGCCGGACCGATACGATCTTTAAACCTTCAAGAAAAAGGCGTACTCCTTCCTAAAAGGCCGGCAACACGTTTGTGACTCCTGAGTTGCAGACGTTCATGGGCGGCGGTGGCTCGTCTGCCCCCGCTAACATTTGTATTCGACAATTGATATCTTTTCCGAAGTTGGACCTGCCTTATTAGATAGTTTGTCCTAGGTATGTCGTATGTATGTGATCTGTGGTACTAAAGCCTTTTCGGAAACCGGTTTGTTCGGGAGACTGGAAGTCGTCAAATCTGCGTGCCAGACGATTTGTAATGAGTCTCAAGAACAGCTTATAGACATGACTCAGAAGAGTGATGGGGCTTTAATTCTTCAGCAGGGTTTCATCGCCCTTTTTAAGAAGAGTACCACCACACCCCTAAACCATGCCTGGCGAAAACTTTACTGCCTTTGTTTCGCTCTATTGTTATTTCTCTGAGACTTTGAGATCTGCCTATTGAGCAGCCGGTATTTAGACTGATCGTCTGAAGAGTGCAGAATTATGTTGCGCCTTTCTTCTATCAGGTTTAGAGTGGGGCAGAGAATCTCTTGGTTGTGCTTTTACGATGGGTCTTGAGCAACTGAGACCCGACCGTATTGACAGTTTAAACTAACTGGTTAGTGAGTTCGTGCACATCAACGCAGTCCTTGAGACAGTCGACAGTCGTTTGAAGTACGAGCTGAAAGCTCTCGGGGTTTTGGATGTGGACGGGTGACGGTCGGAGCGTCGACTTCATCAGCCGCGATCTTTCAAACTTAGTGTTGATATACAATGTGCCTCTAACAAGTCGGTGGTCGCTTCCGGTTTTAACCATGTTGATCACAGAGACATCATTGAAAATTTGCTTCTTCGTCGACATGATGAAGTTGATGTAATTTTTAGCAATACCATCGGGACTCATCCAGGTCTACTTCCTGTACTCCGCATTGCCACTTATTGTATAAATAATGCATAAGTAATATATTAATGTCCTCATACATAGCTTCCACCTCATCATCGGTGTCGCGGTCGGAGCGTATACCTGTATAACCTCCGAAGAATATCTTTTGGTTATTCTGAGTATAAGGTATGCAATCCTCGACGACACACTCGATCTTAACCACGTTGTTCACGAGGTAGTTTTGCACTAAAAACCAGACACCACCTTGGGACAGATGATCGCCCTCCCGGAAATAGAACAGACTGCCAGATTGGAGTATTGTCGAGTCCTCCTCCTTTCTACGGACTACAGATAATCCCAAGACCCCCGTAACCTGCTCAATTCTGTGCCTGTTATAGGTTGTCGGGTCCAGTCGTCGTTTGTAGTAGCCTGATCTTATCCGGGGATTCTTCGCACCCCCTGCCACGCTTTTTCCTGGACCGCTACCGTAGTCAGGAACAGCAAGAACGCCCGGGACAAGGGACAGTTCAAGCTATATTGATCAATAAAAACCATTCAGAGTATTTAAACCTAAAAAAAAATTTTTGCACCTATTATATCAAAAATATTTTTTAATCAACTTAATTGTAAAAAGTAGAAAAAATAGACGTTTTAATATTTTTATCTAACCTGTTAGGAAAAGGAAAACTATAAAAAAACAGTTTCCAACATTTTGATGTCGACAATTTTTTATGGGCTCAACAATGGATGTTTATTATTATTCATCGTATTTCGTTTTATTCCAGGATATAAAAAAAATGGTCACGAAATTAACCTGTTTTTTGAAATCTTATGAATAATTTAGTGAATTTTGAAGTAATTCAAATAAATAATAAATATATACTAGAGGACAGGCTATTTATATATATATATATATAAATAAATAAAGACATAAATTTTAGATAAAGCAACGTTTGAGGAAGTTATTGCTTATTTTTGTGCCAGGAAAATCATCGTAAACATACGACTACGGCTACGGCTTAATAGTCAGGGTCGCTAACCACGAGATCAACAGGCCTGTTAACCTTTTTTCTTTACTTACAGATGAAGACTACATTCTCGAATATTCGTTAGAGTATGGCTTTCTCCGGTTGTCGCCGAGCGCCCGTCTTCGGCTGAAGATACCAGTTAAGATAGTGACACTCGATCCTCAACGCGATGCGTGTTTTGGAGATAAGTTCTCACGGTTTGTGCTAGAAGACTTTTTGGGCTACGACGACCTACTCATGGCTTCTGTCAAGGTCTTAGCTGAGAAGGAAGATAATAAGGGATTTTTGAGGTAATGACATGAATAATTTACAATACCTACATACATCAAAAAGTGCTTTAATAATATATCGCAAGTAAAATAAAATAGTCAACTGGTCAATCTCAACCTGATTGTAATTTTTTTTACAACCTGATTGGTCTGGGGGCGGGGCTTGGTCAGTGGACAACGATCACTCACAAATTTTCTTAACTGGAATGGACTATAGCTGAATTTCAATTTAGTTATCCTGGAATTGTTTAGAAAATGAAATGTATTCTTTATGAGATATAAATGTCTACACCAATATTATGTATTAAAATATCGTAAAATACTTGCACCGACAAACACATCGCATATTGAAAAATTATCAATTCTTATGATAGAATTACTGTTTGCGTTTAAGTGAACTGACTATTTTCACCATATGAGACCTATGTTAAACAAAAAATTGCAGTGGTTTTAAATTTTTGTGTCTTTTAAACGGTCACACTGTATTTGAGCACTAAAATATTACCAATAAATAAATATTTCTATTTTGGGGCCACTCCTCGATTGATCATTTTCTGAATCTGTAGGAGACGCAGGTGCCCCTGCGTCTCCTCCTGAAGGTTTTCTAACTAACCACCTTGAGCTTAGCTTTTCACCTAGTTTAAGTAAGCTGAGATGGCTACAAAACAAATTAATTTGTTCTAGAAATGTGATCACGGGAGAACATTACCGTTTTGTGTCGATGCTGACAACACGCACCTCTTATATTGCGGCATTCTTCATTATGCTCGTCTTCGTAAGTACTGCATTATGTAATATTTTGTATTATATTAAATTTATGTAAGTTGGGATGATTATTTTTCTCGTCTGTCCCATAGCATAGGGTATCAATGATTGGGGCTTTGTCTTAGAGAGTGTAAAGAATAGTTTCAGTGATCCAGTTGCAAAATTGTTGTGAGACCTTAATGTTACTATGCTCTCTTCTACAAGCTAGTGTTTGCTTGAAAGATGTAAGTCATTTACATTTATAGTTTACTTTAGTTGGCCTTCTCCATTAGACACTCAAAGAAGGGCTATCTTGTGTTGTATGCGGTTATTCCATAGTCAAACAGCAAAAACGATTTAAGAATTGTCGTAACTAGTATGTGGAATCGATGAGAAAAAAATCGTAGTTATGGTAGAATATAACTGACTAAGAAGGAGAGGTATTAGTAAGTTATCCTTGTTAGTTTAACTTTAAGATCTTACAAAAATTATGTAAATTTCGTACGAATAAAAACATAAGTGAAAGTTGTTATTTGAATACTATTAAGAACAGAAACCTACACTGCGAGCGGCCTGCCCACCTTTCGGTATTTTAATTTAGTTCTTTCGACAGTCAAAAATAATTCACGTAATATTATAAATACATGCCTTGTGCTTGCTTAATTATATTGTAGGCAACACAACATATACAAGACTTGTAATATTAAACGAAATAATAATACATTTTTAAAACTTAAATATACAAATTCAATATATAAAATCCAGAGTACCCTTGACACTTCGTCATTACAGGTTATTAGGCGTATTTGCGCCATCTATTATCGAGTAGTAATACTATTACGTGTAGGAACGGGTCAGGTTCTAATACGATGAATATAATCTATGTGTTGTGTCGAATAGCAGAACTATTTTCATTAGGAGGCAACATTTTTGTTAATTTCTTAGAGTTTCAGGTTTGATGGTACAGATGGCACAAATGGTTTTTTTCTTCTTACCGAGAATTTTTGATTTAAAAAAAAAAAACGTTGTTTTGGTACTAATCAAAGTGCATTCAAGCGTTGTCTCAGTTCAAGGTCTTAAGATATTTAATTCACTAAAACTGACATTTTAGTTTATTTAAAAACTTTTATGTACTGCTAAATTTCTTAATCAGTGTAATGTCAGTATCGGGAAAATCTGAGACAAGTCTACCTAATGTAACATAATAACAATAAACGCTGTTCTGGCAGTCTTTATTACAGTTTTTTTACATAACAAATTGTGTAGAGAGTTCCTTCGGACTCGGTTGTTTTGGTGTGGCACGCCGCGCCTCGTTGTTGGGTTCGATGCCCAACAAATTGTTATACATTATTTTGCAAGTTGGTGTAGGACAACAACAAAATTAAGTTCTTATAAACATTAGAATAAAGTTCTGTAAGTAGGATTCAACGATATTCCGTTTTAATATATTTGTACGTTTCGGGTAAGTAGAGTGTACATTCGTGACAGCAAGTGCGTGTTAATTATGTAATATACAGGGTTATTGGTTAAGTCGACCTAAATTCTTTAAGAGGTTGTGGTTGCCATCATTTCTGATAGAGTTCACTATGAAATACCATATCCCAAAACTTATACCTTTCAAGATTTTTTAAATAAATTGCCGAAATTTTGCATAATACAATTTTTTTAGAATATCCTCATATCCTTTGTTTTTTTCTTTTTTTACCGTTTTTGTATAGTTGAAGAGTGTCTTTACAAAAGGGGAAATTTACATAGATATTTTTTTTAACTGAGTAGACAGTCTTGTTCTTAATGCTAAAAAGCACAATTTCGTCACTTAGATCCCAATCAAAACGTGATATTCTCCAAGTAAAGTAGCTTCAAAAAGCTAGTTTTTGTTTCATAAGGGGATATTTTGACCCATAAAATATAGCTACATTCATGCCAAATTGATTTCAAAACAATAACGGATATTTACAATTTGCAATTATGATGGTACCGATTAATCTTTTCAAAACGAGATATATACTTTCATGTACATTTACATTGTGTTTTTTACTTTCTTTTAACTTCATTGTTTTATTTTTTTAATGAAATCCCATTTACGAGTATCGTATGTTTTGAACGCATCCGTATTTTTTATATCACAAATTTGCTGAAAAAACAGTTTGGTGAGGAATGGTACAATTTAGAGGAACTTAAGTGGTATAAAGAACTAATAATTGATAATACAAACTGCAGCCCTGAAGAAGAACAGAATACTGAAATGTATGATTGTCTAATAGATGATATCGGACAAGTCAGAATTTAAGTTGTTTAATAGATAATATATATATTTTTTTAATTTGCATGTGATTTCTTTCTTTCTTATATTGTTTTAAAATGAATAACCAGTGTTTTATTATTCTTTACAATAATATGCAAGTATACTGCAAAAAGAGGGATATTACCAAATAGTACACAACTAAAGGGGATATTTACAACTGGAACAGAATAAATGGGGATATCATGAGGATTTCTGTGTGCTACTAAATTAGAAAGTCAAATATATTTTTTAAATATTAATCTATATTTTCTATTAATCTTATTACATAGTACCTACATAGCTATGCAGTCTTTGTGTAGATACACAGATCTACACAAAGACTGCATTTTTTTTATTAAACATATATCCTGTTTTTTTAGCGTTTTTATGTATGTATGTAGTTAATACATTGGTTTATAATTTCCATTACCAAACATGTAGTTAACTTAACAAATTGGGACGAAGTAGATGGTTTATAATAGCACAACTGTTTTCCATTTTGGCGCGGAGTTTGACTTGCATCTGTTATTTATATTAAATACAGTGCTGTTTTTAGTTATATCATATCTAGTGAGTATTGCGAATTTCATAATGGACACAAACATCGAACAAAGAGTGTTTGTCTTAAATTTTGCATCGCCAATCGAATGTCGTGTTCGGGGTCACTGAAAATGTAACAAAAGGCTTACGGTGAATCGACTTGATTAAAAACACGTGCTTATGAATGGTACAAAGCGTTCAAAAGCGGTCGAGATGTGATGGAAGATTTGCCTCGCTCTGGTAGTCCATCAACGTTTGCAACTGAAGTTAACATCGCAAAAGTGAAGGAAATAGTGACTGAAGATCCTCATTCAACTTTGAGAGAGATAGCCGCCGAACTTTCTGTATCTCACTAGTCGATTCGTAGCATTTCAACTAATCATTTGGGTATGAAACATGTTACCACTCGGCTAGTCCCAAAAGACCTGAACTTTCTCCAAAAACTCAATAGCATGAGAGTCGCTGAGAACATGCTAGAACGAGTCAATTCCGACCCAACATTCATGAAACGCATTGCTACTGGTGACGAGACGTGGGTTTACTAGTTTGACATGCAAACTAGTCAACAAGTTTCGGAGTGGCGCCTTCCAACTGAACCGAAACCGAAAAAACCACACCAAAGTCGATCAAAAGTCAAAGTCATGTTGACTGTTTTCTTTGATTATCGCAGTGTTGTGCACTCGGAATTCTTGCCGGAAGGTCAAACGGTAAATAAAGAATATTATTTAAGCGTTATTACGCGGCATTTATGAGAGCAAATTCGACGAAAAAGGCCAGATTTGTGGAAAGAGAAATCTTGTATTTTGCACCACGATAATGCGCCTTCGTACAAGGTCATCATGGTGAACGAATTTTTGACCAAACACTTGACAAATACTATCGAGCAACCAGCATATTCACCAGATATGGCTCCAGCCGACTACTTTCTTTTTCCTAAACTCAAATTATCACTTCGTGGCACCCGTTTTCAATCGGCAGAAGACATAAATAAAGGAGAATTCGCGAAAATATGTTTTGATGATTGGATTTTTCGTTGGCGTAAGTTTATCGATTCTGAAGGAGCATACTCTCAAGGTGATAAAATAAATTTGGATGAAGAACACACATTTTGTGTATTATTGATCTTTTCCCGGTACTTTCTTGACAGAGTAGTATAGCTCTCCCACGAATATTTTGAAAAAAATTTACGCCATGTTATTGTGAAGTGTAATTTTATTTAATTACCCTCTTGCAAATACATTGCAAAGGAAAAATTGCATTTCCTTCTAGTTAACCTATGGGTGATGCAGTGCTGTGTAGCAGGTGAAGCAACTGATAAATTACTTCAATTGATATCTGTTGCGAATGTTCTACATAGATATACGCTTATGTCAATCTTAGACGCATTTCGCTGTAATATGCGGTCTCCGAGATTACTAGATAACTAACTATTAGTTGACCAACACGACGTCATTTGATAAGAATGCAAAAAAACTCACTATCAAGCGTATCACAAAGACTTGGTTGACTCGTCAAAGCGAAGCTGATCATAATATAGTAGCTAACAATCTATTTAAATCTCATAATCGTATCATAGGTTCGGTTATTCACTTTTAATGTAAAATCTATGGTTAAATTACAATCATTTACACATTTACATACTGGAAAACTATCTGTTCTTGTATCTCATAATCTGTTGATGGTCCCTAGCATGTTCATCTATGAAGTAGCTAAATTTGTGAAGTGCAATAAAGAGCTCTTTGTACTCAAGGACAATACCAACAAACGTAAAAATACTAATTTATCGTATTACTCGTATTTTAGCCTCGCCTAGAAATTTTTAGGTTAAGCTGTGTTTATATGGCACCACTTATTTATAACGCGTTGCCGGTGAATATTGCAACTCTTTCTTATCACAAATTTTGGGCTACGTTAAAAAATTGGCTAGTAGCAGTGTTTTTACTCCGTCAATGTTTTTTTTTAAAGTACCTACTCTACTCAGTCATATCACTTCAGAAATTCATTGGTGTGGCAAATATTTTTAATATGATTTTTGAAATTTTAATTGTAATGTAATGCAATTTAATAGCAAATTAATGTTTTTAATTATTTTCTTTATAATTTAAATAATGGTTTTAAAAATTTGCTATCTAAATATAGCGAAATGTGTCTTGTGCTTTCAACTTTGTAAACCACCTACTGTGACTACCACATTTTTATGCAAATAA